GAAAGCAAATCATTTCACAATGCTTTTTCAGTATGGCTGATTGGGGCGGGGGGGGGGGGGTGGGAGGTAAACTCTAAATAATAATGTTGCAACTTTTATCGAAACAATGAAGCTAGTCAAAGTAGATAGAGTGTTAACTAGAATTCATCTGCCTCACAGGCATTGGGGTGGGGGGTGGGGGTTTATTAGGGTTCTTCGGTGAAAAGTAAGTATTGGTAAAGGGAAATGTGATTGATATTTGCATGACCAAGACCGAAACCTGAAAGCTTTGTCACTTTTCCCACAGCGATTCAATAAATAAATTAATTAATTTAAAAAAAAAAAAGAAGACCACTGTGATTGCTCGGGAAGTAAATGATCATATTCAATGTTACAAAAGTCATATTCTTATTAACAAAATTTCCCTTTACTTCATTAGTAGTAGGAAAGCAAAACACAAATAAAACTACTTTTAAAATTTACTTTTAAAAAGCTATGTGATTGTTTTAGAAAGCAGATACTCAGTCTTACACATGTGTATTTGCACTCACATATTAGCACCTCTGTTATCATTCACATCTTAACACCTCTGTTGTATCAGTTCTTTTTGGTCAGTTCATTTGCTTTGTTTCATAAGGACCTCCTCCCCTTTGAGTTATCTCTCTGGCCCTTATACACAATTCTTGACCTTCTTTGATAAATTTTAGACTAATACATACTGGGAGAACATGGACTTCTCTGACTACATCTGGACAGGTTATCTCAGGCTGAGAGAAAGAATGTGACCCTCCAAATTTAACTCTGTTATTTGCAGATCATGTAACCCCAAGCAGATTTTTTAAATTTCGTGAGTCTCATTGTCTTCATAGCACTGTAGCACTGTCCTCCTGTTGTTCATCAATTTGCTCGAGTGGGCCCAGTAACATCTCCATTTTGAGACTTGTTATTACTGTGTTTGGCATATTCAATACGTCTTGGGTAGCTTGCCAGGCTTCGCTATGCGGGCGAGATACTCTCGGTAGCTTGCCGGGCTCTTGGAGAGGGGCAGAGGAATCGAACCCGGCTCGGCCAGGCTGGCTGCGTGAAAGGCAAATGCCCTAACCGCTGTGCTATTGCTCCATTGTCTTCGTAAAAAAAAAAAAAAATAGCTCAAGAACCCAAAGGTTCTGTGGGTTACTAAGTGAGATAAAAGTATGTGAAGCTCAATCATTAGTGCTTTAACACTTTGAGATTGCTTGTTAGTTTTTCCCTCAAAATGAATCATCTTCATACATAACAAGGAAGGTTGACTGGAATCCCACTCCTGGTTCTAAGTGAGTGGACTCCTCTCCCATTGGACAAAAGGATTGTTTTGCAAGATGTGAAGGGTCAGGAACTCCCAGATTCCCATGGTCCTTTCCTCTCAAGGGAATTCAGCAGCTTTGGTCAAGCAGTGTTCCTGTCATGGGTGGATAACTCTGTTATTGACATGAATGTACCACTCTCTTTGTAAGCAGAACTGGAGGAGGGAAGACAGACCATCTTAAGTAAATGAAGCCCCATGTGGCTAACATTCTGGTTATCTGGCTACCCAGATGTCCCCAGGCCTTTCTTTCCCTCACTTGGTCTCAAGATTGCCAGTGTTGGTCAATATTTAATTCCTCTGCAAACATACCTACTAGACTAGAGACATTTAATCTGCTTGTTTTTATTTTTCAAGACCCAAGATTTCAGTGTCAGTGTTGAACCAATATTTACGTAATGCTCTGCTGAATTCAAAACAAGGATTAATTAATAATCCAGAGTGGAATTTGTCTCAATGCCAGTTCACTCTCAATGCCATAGGTACCTAGAGAAGGATTGCCTTGGCTCTGTCACCCTCTCCAGAGTCTCCTTCTAGCCCATAATACGAAAACATGAGTAGGAGCAAAGATTATTGAAGAGCAGCGTTAACTCTAATCCACCTACCTGTGGCAAATATTTGAACTTCCCACTGATCCAGTACTCAGAACTGCCCCCAGCTACACACAAGTTGCCTCTGGGAGCCCACAAAACACAGGGTGAATTTTCAAACCCTAAAGAACAATATTGCTCATGAAATATGTTGGTTGTCTCCACTAACGGGGATGAAACTTTTAAGAAACGTTCCTTAAAATAAGAATTCTATGAATATGAATAAAGCGATTACTTTCTTTAATTCAGGAAGCAACAGAAAAGGAGAGTTTTCAAACAAAGGACTAGAGTGAAAACAAATATTACTGTTATACATAAATACCATCTAAATTTTGTAGTAAAATTTAGTGCTCAAGGTTTTGTTTAGTGCCTGAACTATTCTTGGAAGTAGGAGAATCATTGAACAATAGAGTAATTGCTGTCAGTTAAGGCAATCCTAATTGCTATCACCCTGAAATATTAGGGACTTAAAATAAAAGAAATTTGTTTCTATTCTTTTTTTTAATGAATCACTATGAGATACAGTTACAGACTTATAAATTTTTGTGATCACGTTTCAATCAAACTGTTCGAGTCCCTCCAACAGTGCCCATTCTCCATCACCAATGTTCCTGTGTCCCTCCCACCATCCCCACCCAAAAGGAATTTATTTCTTAATCATGAAAACTTCATAATATATTTTCATCATTTATAGGTAGCTTTTTTGTATGGAGAGAACCAAGAATCCTTTCATCTTCTGGCTCTGTTATCTGCTACCTGAATTGAGGTCACTCAGGTTGTAGAAGGGAACAAGTGGAAGATCATGTGGTAATTGTGTCAACCATGGACAATCACAGTAAATACCTACATACTTACACTTGATTTGTCAGAAATAGATCACATGACCTATCTTCCTGCAAGGAGATAATAATGGATTTATTCCCTGTAGGAAGAAGCCAGCAATCTCTGCCAGATGTCCTGTGAACAGATATTCCTAGAAAGCACATTCTTGATCAGAATGAGACAATATGGTTCATAAAATTTCACAACCCAGCCAAAGGGTTCAGCAAGACTGACCATAAGGGATCCATTCATCCTGAGCTGGCACAATAGATTGCTGATTATGTTCAATTTCTTCCTAACTTTTATTGGAATTTGGGATGCTTCATCTTTCCAATGCATTCTAAAGTTTGCTCCTATTTTAGTTCATAAAACAATTCCTTTGGATTCTAATATAATTTAAGAATTTGCTAACATTTGGTCCTAACTCTACAGTCTACACTAAATAAAGATTTGCTTAATTCCAGATTAAATGTTGCACTATTGAAAATGACAACTTAGAAATTCTCTACATTATTTTTGCAATTCACACAGAATATATCTTACTCTATAGTAACTCTAACGTAAACATTGGTTCCTTTTTTTAATCAGGACCACTCACTCCTAGCAGTGTTAAGGGTTGGGGACACATGAGAATCAGACTCAGAGTGTGACACATGCTAGGTGTATGCTCTCCACCCGAAAAATATTCCTGACATCATGACTTTTTTTGGTGCATGTGTTTTCCTGATTTAAATCAAAAACTTAAAAATTATAGTTGTTCATAGTAAAATTATGTAGGAAATTTCTGCTATATCAATTGAGCGAAACAAATTACTTTTCATATTCCTCCTCTCATTGTTGGTTCTTTCCTCAACAGGGATATCTTACCCTATGGGCCTTTGAATCCTAGGTACCAATTAGGCTAGATATTGAAATATGTCAACAGGCCCAGAGAATTACATTTTCTTCTGAGTTGGGGAGCTGTTAGTGATTGCAAGTAATACCCACTGATGAAAATACTGAAGGGAGATGTTTTTAGACAGAGAGAAACCAAGGCGTTAAACCCTGAGGTAGGAAAGACTCAGTGGGAATTTGTCAGAGTTCCTTCAGCTTCTTTCTTGATTTTACATTGCCCTTGCCAAAATTTCTGGAACTTTCCTTACACATAATTTTATTGATATTTTTCTGGACCTAGAAACTTTGTCAGCAGGTTAAATTCTTATTTGACTATTTTTGACCAAAGACACATTGCTGTTTCATAGATTTAAGCTATCTCTATGATATTCTTAGGTTCAGTGGTTCTGGCCTATTAAAATTATGGCATCATGTTAAGTTTTATTATATTTAAGCAATATATCTAACACCAAAAAAACACTTCCTTTTTATTTTTTTTATTTTGAAATACTTTCTGCTAGATTTTTTTCCCATGTCAGTTTTTTCCCAAGTTAAATTTTATTTCCTCTCTTATTCAGAATTTCATCTGATGACAGGGTCATGTTTTGATTTTGGTAATACTCTTATCCCTTTGATCAGTTGATTTATTACTTCCCCTGTATTATTGTTGAGAAAGAAATCTTTTCTGTGGACTATCAAAATAAAATGCCAACTGCTTTCCATAAAGGCAAGAATTCTCTTTAAGAACTGCCTCTTCGGGGCTGGAGCGATAGCACAGTGGGTAGTGAGTTTGCCTTGCACACAGCCATTTGGGGTTCGATTCCCAGCATTCCATATGGTCCCCCGAGCACCGCCAGGAGTAATTCCTGAGTGAAGAGCCAGGAGTAACGCCTGTGTATCGCCGGGTGTGACCCAAAAAGAAAAAAAATGAACAGCCTCTTTTTCGGCTGTCCTTGTGGGGAAGCAAGGTTACACAAGAACAGCATGAGCAGGAAAGAATTTTTATATTTGTTTTCAATACTCCTATTATAGAATCTGTAAAAATTTGGTTTTTCATATCCCACAAACCCTCACAGTGTATTGTCAGACTAGAAGTAGGGACAGACTAGAACTTTCCTTGCAATGGAAGGATGGTGATTCTGAGAGTTATACAATCGCAACAGAAGAGAACAGTGGGTATTTACCTTCTCCTCATCACTCCAGGATTCCTGTGGAAAACTTTACCTACTCTATCACTCTTGGTTTGTTTATGATTAAAATTAGAAACACATCCTTGGAACCTCCTCTCTTTCCCTGGTACTGTTCCATGGGGCTGCGCAACAAAGATAAGGTTTGTCTATAAAAGGGCTTTTTGGTGTTCTTGAGTTGTTCTTGTGTGGAACCAGCCTGGAACCGCCACGGTGAGTCAGGAACATGATGCCCATGCAAGAATTAGTAGAATCAACCTATTCTCTTTCTGAGGGCTAATGAGACTTACCAACTTTTGGAAAATGAACATAGTGAGACTCAACCGTATTTTTTACTTTATGTAGATGCTGCCCATCTGGACCTTCTTCCTGCTGCTGGGTGCAGTAGCAGGTAAGGGAAAAAAGTTCTTATGTAGAGTTGGAAGAGGTTGACTGCTTGATACTTTGAGGAAAGGCAATGTTGGCTAAATCAAACTGCCCTGAGGAGAGAATCATGGAAGTTACTTGTTGGCAGGGAAAACTGAAAATGTCCAGTTAAGTTTGAATTTTAGATGAGCTAGTGTTATCTGAAGTTTTTCAGATAAACCATTGACTGTGTGATGCATCAATACTGAAAACTTATCATTGTTAATCTGAAACTCAAATTTAATTCGAAATTTTCATTGCTAGGTCTAGCCATCTCAATATGGTAATGAGTGTGGGGTTGGAACCCTGAGTCCAATTCTTAGTTTGTGCTTCACTCTCTTTATCCATGACATGGGTATCTAATATGATCCTTCTCAAGGAGTTACTGTGAGATTGTGAGGCATCATGCCCAAAACTTGTAACACAGTGAGATTTCCAAAAGTGGAGTTCCCCACAAATAGCTATTGCTCCTATTCCTGTAGGATAGAAGCTTTATTCCCTGAAAGACGCCTTCCTCTGTGTTGATCTTATATTGGACACTATTCAAGTCTTGAGCTGGGCCAAACCAAGAATTTCCTGTTTGTTTGTGAGCATCAATTTCCCCCATCATGCAGGCCCTCCTTAAACATAGTTCAGGGATCTAAATATGGGCCAGATGAAGAAATAAAGTTTGGGAATTTGCATGAAATCAAAGCTCTCTGTCCAAAGCTCAAAGACAATAACTGAGACCAGAAGCTTGGAATCTTATTCCCCAAAGTCTGGGCACATGAGGCTGCTGATTTCTTGGGTATCGAGAAGGACCAAGGTTCCCCATTATGAGATTGGACACATACAAGAGGGGAGCAAGAGTCATGTGAAATGACAGTGTCTCCAGCTGGGTGGGACAAGGTTGATTGAAGTGTTGTGGGTATGTAGCTAAAAAGAGATGTTTGGGGACATAGAGAAAATAAATCAGCTGTAAAATGCAATTTACCTTCAATTTTGGCAGAAACCACTAAACAGAATTTTCTAGTTAAACTAATATCTCTGAAATTCCTGTGGGTGATTGCAGGAAAAGAAGTCTGCTTTGAGAGACTTGGCTGCTTCAGTGATAACTCCCCATGGGCCGGAATTACAGAAAGACCCCTTAAAATTTTGCCCTGGGCTCCAAAGGATGTCAATACCCGCTTCCTTCTGTACACTAATGAGAACCAAGACAACTACCAAGTAAGAACATTTCTCTTTTTCAGAAGGATGTCTTATGTATTAGGTTATCAAAATATGTTAATGTAATCTTCTGTTTATGTATCTGTTTTATGTACCATCTGTTATGAACTTTATGTCTTCTAAGGAGAAGAAACAAGAAAATAACTTTATATATTATATTGCTTATATATTTATTGTTTTAATTACTATATTGTTTATAAAAGTTCTGTCAATTTGATATTATTGTTATCTTACCTTCATGGCTATACTTGATATATACTCCAATGATAGATATATATGCATGCACACTTAAATATATAATATCCCAAATTGTATATACTCTCCCAACATTTTTTGTACACACATATATAAAGCTTATAGACACACTTAACATCCACATATATATAATCTTCCAATGTGTAGAGACAAGATCTCTGACACCAATATGATAACAGATATAATATCCTGAGTTAAACAACTGAAACAATGTTGTGATATCTTATAAAGGACAACAGTGATGATTGCTTGGTTACAATGGACAATCCATTGATCTTTTTTTCATTCTAATACCATGCTCTTTTAATTAGTGCTACTTTGTAGTATAAGCTACCCTTGGCATATTCGATATGCCAAAAACAGTAACAAGTCTCACAATGGAGATACTGGTGCCTGCTTGAGCAAATCGATGAACAATGGAAGGACTGTGCTACAGTGCTACATTGTAGTATAGTTTGAAGCAGAGACACCCAATTCTCCATTGTTATTCTTTCGTTTCAGGTTTGGTTTTGCTGGCCAAGGTCTCTTTGGTTTTAAATACATTTTATGTTTTTTTTTTTTGCTTTGTTTCTATGAAGAATATTGTGGGGACATTGATAGTGATTATATAGAATCTGCGTTATTTGGTGATATGGGTGGTCGTTTTAATGAAGTTAATTCCCCAAGTCCCCGCAGTCTTCTACCCTCTATCTCCCTGCATGTGCAAACAGTTTTGTTGGAAATGCGACTTTAAACACTTTTCTCTCCCAAATAGGAAATCTCCGCAGATTTAGACGTTATCTCAAGCTCCAACTTCAAAACAAACAGAAAAACCCGTTTCATTATCCATGGATTCATTGACAAGGGAGAAGAAGGCTGGCTGTCTAATATGTGCAGGGTAAGAAATGGTTTTCTCGTCGGGAAGGTTGTTTCTGTGGGAGTAATTAACACAGGGAGAGGGCAGACCTCAAACAGTAGCACAAATGCCAGCTACTGTGACCCTGGAGAATCCTCTGACCTGCAGGAGGTAGTAGTGGATCTAGTGGACTGGAGACAGTCTGTGTGTGGTGGATGGGCATCTGGACCACCCGATTAGTGATCCCTGCACAGCTAGTACAAATATTTTTAAGTGTTAGTGGGCATTGCTGTATATCATTTTTCATTTCTAAAAAGATATAATGTTTTCTTTTTTTTTCCTTTTACAAATATTTTATGTCTTGTGGTAGCAATAGCTAGGAAACACAAATATGTTTTCAGCCCTAGCTTCTGTTCTGGAAACAATCATGGCCTTATTTTCCTACATTTGCCTTTGGCTGTGGATCCTGTGATCATGAAGAATTCAAAGACAAATTTTAGTAGCTGCCATTGCCTGAAGAACATTCTTGTATGTTCATTTCTTCATCAAGCTTCCATAGCCAGCAGTAGCACAAAGGTGTAGTCATTTTACTAGAAGTCTTGAGAGAAAACTCAGAGGTCTTCCTAACCCTTTTTCATTTCAAACCTGCCCAGGGTTCAAAGGCTGCACTGAGTTAAATGCAAATCAGCAAGTAACCACTGATTCTAACAATTGTCGACGTCAACAGTCAAGTATAGAATTAAAAGAGAAGCTTCTAAAATAATTTAGATTTAATGATAATTTAGAATAGCAATTTAACAAGAGTGAAAGAGTAATAAGTTAATTAGAATTAATATCTATGGTAAGGTATAATGACAAATTTGTCATAATTTATCTATTATAATAAATAAATAGTAATTATTGTGTCTGTGGCCAAAGCAAGCCATAATTCGAATATGTTCCAGTAAGGGATAATTGAGGTCTTAGTACATTTCCAATGCTCTGAGACAACTCGTTGTACCACACTTCCCCTTGACATGAACATCTTTGCACGTATTACGGTAGAAATCTTAAAAACCCGGTTCTCATGGTGGCCAAACCTCCAACACGAGGTCAAGGTTAAGTTGTACAAGAGATTCTATCTCCATAATTGACTGGAAAATATTCTCATAGCTTTGGGCTTCAAAACAAGTAGGAGAAGAGTTTCTAGCTTGAATAGGTGAAAGAGGAAATTTGTCCTCAGCTAGGCCAATTAGTTATTTTTAAAGACTCTGAATGCTTTGCCTCTTGATTCTGTCTTTCCCACCAGAACATGTTTAAGGTGGAAAATGTGAACTGCATCTGTGTGGACTGGAAAAGTGGATCTCGAACTGGCTACACTCAGGCCTCACAGAACATTCGGGTTGTGGGTGCAGAAGTGGCCTATCTCATCGACTTTCTGCAGGTAACAACCTCAGCATTGTTTTTTTTTCAAATAAAAAAGATTATTTTAGTACCTCAGCATTGTTTTAAATCTCACACACCTCACTCTCCCAATCCTCCTATCCCCACCAAGAAATGTGGCTTCATTCGGTGATCAAGATAATTTTCTTCTGAGGTTTGTCCTTGCCTTTGTTTGAAAAGAAAACTGCAAGTCAAATGTAGAATTAAACTTCATCACCAAACTTACTTTAGATCAATGCACTAGATTTTTAAGAGGTATTATTCAAGGAATCAGATAGTTAATGTCTACTAAATTCTTCAACATTTTACTAAATCCGGTTACTATCTTGTCAACTTCAAGATCAACCAATTTTATTTTTGTTTCCTTGATTATGATTTCTAAGGGAAGAAGCCCAAGGATACAAAACAAGCCCACTTTGGATACTAAAACTATAGAAAATGTTCAATTTGAATGTTCTTAAATTGTGGTTTCTGTTACTACAGTCTACAGTTCCACATCTCTCTGTACCAATTCATCATCTGTCAAAGATGATTAATACGAAACAACCCAAGAGCTCCACTTTCAAGTTTAAACATTAAACTCATTGCTATTTTCAATTATCATTGTGGAAAAGAAACCCAAACACACACACACACACACACACAAACACATCAAAATTGACTGCTATGTTTGACTGTTTAGTACCCATCTAACCAAGTATTCTTTCCTACAGTCATCACTAGACTACTCTGTGTCCAACGTTCATATCATTGGCCACAGTCTGGGGTCTCATGCTGCTGGAGAGGCTGGAAGAAGAACCAATGGCACTATTGCTCGGATCACAGGTTGGTTGAAAACAGTAAAGACTATAACCCGAGTTGGAGTTGTGTAACCTTAGCCTCTTAGTATCTCAAAATATAGAAATATGGGGTAGCCCCTTTGATTCCTGATGGACAGGTTTTCACTTTTTCCCAATAGATCATAAATCAGTGTTTTCTAGGCCTTGTGGATTCTTTTTTTTATCAATATCGATCATTGGTCTATAAAGTCCCATTTAACATATGAATAAAGCTTGTGAATTAAGAACATCTAGAGGCTTATTCATATCAATTGGATTTCCTTTGTTGGGTATTCCTCACAGTAGACAAGTTTCTGGAATAGAATAAAATGTAAATAATAGAATAAATAACAAATAGCATTAAGTCTGAAGAGCTAAAAAATGTATAATTAATCATATTCTATGTCAGTAGCCATTAATAATTCACCCAAACCTCATTAAATACAACATAAGAGTTGAGGGAGCAGGTGAGACTGACCCAAGCTGCCAATTCTCTGCATTGCTAATTAAATAAGAAACATAATCTTATGAACTGCACACTAGCCACTGAGCTCACAAATTGGGTACCAAAATCTTCAGTCCAGCCTGTTAAATTTTATGAAATAATTTGTAATCCCAGATCAGAAAAATGACTATTTTAGAGAACATTCATTTTCTGTGACATTGTGGTTCTTTTCAAATATTTTGGCTCATTTCTAATACATTTAAAATGTCTATTGCTAATTTACTGAGGAGAGCGTTTCTTCCCCATAAGTCATCAATGTTGAGTAAAGCTGGCTCTACCAGGCAATTTATGAAACTATGGCCCCAAGACTATGAAAGTCCAGTTCTTTGACCTCTTGGGAGGTGATCATCTTTTAGCATGAGGAACTCCTTGGAGTCAGCTCCCTGAGCCTGACTCTATACTAGTAACTGCTGGGAGGGGAATAGGATTGGTATAGAGACTGTGTCAATAAGTAGAATCAATTCCATGGTTTGAGAAAAATGTATTTTAATACAAATAGTAAGCTAGACACATGTTTCTCTTGAGAAAATGGTAAAAAAGGGAAGGGACTAGATTCTCTTTCATGTATTAATCAAGATTACATCCATGCTTTCATCCAGTAATTAATGAAGAAAAGCAAATGCACAGGCACAAGGAAATTACCATGACACATCCTTTTTTCTTTAGGATTGGATCCCGCTGAACCTTGCTTTCAGGGCACACCCGAATTGGTTCGACTGGATCCCAGTGATGCCAAGTTTGTGGATGTCATTCACACTGATGCTTCCCCCATCATCCCCAACGTTGGTGAGTCCCTGAATTCACCTTCCAAGAGTTTTTTATAAGTCCATATGTTAGAGAGCTTTTTGTGCATTTTGATTCTCTATATTCATCTCAACTTTTTCATATTGAAAAATCCCTCAGGATTTGGAATGAGCCAAACTGTGGGCCACATGGATTTCTTCCCAAATGGAGGAGAAGAGATGCCCGGATGTCAGAAGAACATTCTGTCTCAGATTGTGGATATCGAGGGAATCTGGGAAGGTAAAACCATTAGATGCACCAAGAAATTTTATTTTGGCAAGTTCTGAGCTTTGTTTTGCTAAAGTTAGTAAATATTTGGGCATGATAGAGGTCTCACATTTTTCTATCAAAAATGGCATTCAATTGTATTCCAGGGATAAGGAATTTTTATTGGGGGAAGAGAGAAAGAAGAGTATAGGAAAGAATATTTCAAAGTCAGCTTCCTAGAGCTAAAACAATAATGCAAAAGGTAGGGTACTCACCTTGCATAGGGTAAAAAAGGGTTTATTCCCTAGTACTACATATGGTCCCTCAAGACTCTCTAAAAGTTTTCTGAGTACAAAGCCAAGAAGAAGCCCTGAGCACTACTGAGTGTGACCCCCCCCCAAAAAGAAAAAAAAACACCACAAATACATTTAGTGCATGATTTGATTTATGAAAGCCAAGAGTTAGCACTGGTTAGTTAAAGCTGGAAATTCAGGTCAGTTGCTTATGGGTCATCATGTCTAATTTTAAAGGAAGTCGTGACTTCTTTGCCTGTAATCACCTCAGAAGCTACAAGTATTACGCTGACAGCATCCTCTATCCCGATGGCTTCTCTGGATACTCATGTGCCTCTTACAATATTTTCAAAGCAGTAAGTCAACACTTTCTTGGACTTGGGAAACTTGGGGACCGCCACTCTCATGACTGGTACATGACTGGCATCCAGTTTTGTTATCCTTTGACTGTCATGTTATCCATACGCTGAAGTATAAATCTTTATTAAAATCATGATGAGGCAAAGGAGAACTTCAGAGAAATGGGCTTGTAAACTGAAATTTCTGCTATCTGCTGAGTTTTTATGACTTCTATATGTAGCGAGCAAATGGTAAAACTTATTTGGAAACTAATTCTAGGTGAATACAAAGAGAGTCTCATGGAAGAAATCCCAACTATGCTAAAGGATCCTTATTAACATGGACAATTTGTTCTAAAGACTGACCTTATAAAATAGTGTCATTGTAGGCATGAGACTATTTCTGTGCAATATCCTAATTGCCAAGATCTTCTTTTACTTTTGATTGCTCAGTTTCTTTGATATTCTCTATATTAGGATCCTTAAATGTGATCTTGAGTATAACATAGCAACTGTCTGTTTGTTCAATTGCATTTCTAGCCATTGTAATATTTTCAAGTAAAAATTTATAACATACATCATTTAATAAACAGAATTTCAAGTATTATGCAAGATGAAGTGAAAATTAATAAGGAGATCTATCTTAGGAACTAGGGAGAGAATGTGAGTTCTGGTTTTGTCATCAAATAAATCAATGATTTGAGGGGAAAATTGTAGGAGAGCAGTTTCTTCATTTCTAAGTGTAAATAATAATGGTAGACTCCAAAGTTTGGTGGGAGAATATAAGGAGATGTGTGCTTTATTTTTTTTGACCCACACATTGAAACATAATAGTCAGCAATCAACAAATGTTGATATTTATATTTGTGTATTTTAGGGCATGGATGTTTAATTCACAGTACAGATTTTACACAAAACAAGCACACACAAAGATACCCTCTTTAGTCTAACTTTATTTTTATATTTTTCCCAAATACCCATTCTCTAAGTAATGGGGAAAGCAGATATTGAAGTTTAGGTTTCATCCAGTTAAGACTCTAAGTAATTGGGGCTGGAGTGATAGCACAGCGGGTAGGGCATTTGCCTTGCACGCAGCCCGACCCGGGTTCGATTCCCAGTGTTCCATGTGGTCGCCTGGGCATGGCCAGGACTAATTCCTGAGTGCATGAGCCAGGAGTAACCCCTGTGCATCACTGGATGTAACCCAAAAAGAAAAAAAAAGACTTTAAGTAATACAAATATTTCAGGAGATGCTCAAACATTTGTTAAATAATATTTCAGCTGTGAGTCAGAATTTTATCTGCCAGTGTAACAAAGATTTTCTTAGAGATCTTTAAGAAATTGCAGTTAAGACCTAACAATCAGCAAGGTTATGTCAGTTTTGGTTTTTTTTTTTTATGTGGGGGGAAAACACAAATATAGAGGTAGAGCTTCTTCATACAGGTAAATATTCCTTGAAAGGGGGTAGGAAAATATATACAGGATGGAGTGATTGTTGCTTGTTAATTTAGGTGAAAGATTGTCCTCTTGGAAGTCATGTTCTCATAGAATTTATTTATGACTCTGTGAGCAGTGGCGATCAGGGCATATATTGGGCGGGGAAAGGGCAATTAGGGAGGGCGGATCTGCCTTATTGATGGGTACATGACTAGCATCTGTTGACTTTTTTGTTGGAGCATTCCCTGAAGTGTTTGGGTCATTTCTGTCTAGCTGACTAAGTTTCTCATTGGCTTGTGTGAGATAAAGACCCTGAGGCTGGCACCATCCATCTGATCCACAAATCCAGGAGTCTTACCATAGGCCTCTGTTGTGGAGAAGCCTTTGCCCTCCCACAGCTAGAATTGTCATGCTTGTTTTCCCCCAATATGTTCCCTCCCTTCCTCTCCCAAAAACCCATGTTCATAGAAAAGAACATTGTCCTATATGATCTCTATCTTCTCCAGACCCCAAACTCATTTTCCTTCCACATTGGAACAATTCTGAGATCCGAATCTCTCAGATGCTGATTTGTGGGAACTAGAGAAATTGAGAAAACCCTGACTTTTGTCCTCCCATTGGATCAATATCAGAAACTGATTGTCACCTCCTGCTCTTTTTTTTTCTGTAATAGCTACCTCCCAGCAGAAAGGTGTCTCAAGGAAACTTAGGCAGAAGAGAAAAGCTATAGATTCATTCTCATGTGATTTGTATGTCTTTAAAAATGTGATGTTATTTAACAGTGAAATTGCCAGTTCATTATTTTAAAATGAGATGCCTTTTAAACTTTGCTAGTCCTTGTGTTTGAACAGAATTCTCTTTAGAATATTTGAATTGTAGCAGTGCATGCAAAAAGGTGGTGTGTTATTAAAAGAAAGAGCTACGTATCAAGGAGGTAGCTCTAAGGGTTGGTATGGATGATCTGCATTCGGGAGGCCCAGGGTGGATCCCCAAGAGTTCCAAGCTCTGCCAAGAGCATCTCTAAAGCACAGAGCTGGGAGTAGCCTCTGAGTACCACGGAGAGTGTCCCCCCATACCAGAATAATAATAATGAAATGAAATAAAGAACATTCTCATCCGCATTTTTTAATTTTCTCTAGAACAAGTGCTTCCCCTGTCCAGCTGGAGGCTGCCCACAGATGGGCCATTATGCTGATAGATTCGTTGGGAAAACAAATGCAGAGTTCCAGAAATTTTATCTTAACACCGGTGATGCCAGCCACTTTGCCCGTAAGCCTCTCTATCTTTTTTTTATTGCCTCAAATTCTTACTTTGTTATGTTGAGTGAAAATGCTTTTCTGCACAAAAGTTTTAAACATTCCTCACAAACATAAAAAATATACTCACATGTTTAACTATCACTTTTACTAACATGGAAAGCAGAACAGAGTTGGGGACATGACAGAAAACAGATTCCCTCACATTGAATTTTTGAGTATTTCTTCTACTTCAGCCTCTCCCCCTTTCAGTCAGGAGTTTTTCTGAAGTTATGTCAGAAACAGAAAATCAATGAAAAAGAGAGATGGCAGTGGTGGTGGGCATGGAAAGGGTTTGACAGAATTATGAAATATTTAGGATTATCAATGAATACCTGGATAATAGAAAATAAAGGTTAGAGGGATGGCCAAGCCTGGGGACAGGTCCTGAGGTCCTTTCTGGATAACAGAGTAAAAAACTTCTGGACAGCAGTCAATAAGTTTAGCTGCATTGCATAGATAAAGTCAAAATATTCACTCTTTCCAAGTGTGGTCCAGACCACCTCTAAATGGCAAAAACTGGTAGTTCCCCCACTAATGTGGACCAAAAATTAATATATTTCCAAGGACAATGGAAACTTGAGTTATAATTTTTAAACAATGTAGACCTCTCAGATAAAAAAAATGACACTACTCTAAAATCTATAATCTGTGATCTGAAAAGTGAAGTAAATTGATAAAATTGTCATACTCTATTTTCCCATTTTAGAGGAAAAAATTTTAAAAATCTTTTAGCAGAATATTTTTGAAAATCTTTTACCAGATTTTAGCAGAAGTTTCACCTAGATTATATTCTGCGGTGAAAATATTGAAATTAACATGAATAATTTAGTCCATTATTTTGAATTCTATTACCTTTGTAAAGTTTCTATACTCGTCCCTGCTTCTAAGATCTGTTCTATGAATATTTAAACAAAGGATCATCCATGATCCTTTCACCAGAAAAATCACTCTGTGACTTCTATAAATTATTCCAAGCTAGTTACAGTGGGACCCAAGTTGATCCTGTCTTCCATGCAGCTTCTCTGTGAACTGACATTTTGCAAATATCTTCCTGGTACAGGCTGGAGGTATAAGGTAACCATCACTCTGTCTGGAAAGAAGGTGACAGGACATGCGCTGGTGTCTTTGTTTGGAAGTAACGGAAACTCTAAGCAGTATGAAATTTTCAAGTGAGTGCAAAATGACTCAAAGCTTCTTCAGTGTTGAAATACTTAGCACTAATTAGGTATATTATGGACACAAGAGTCTATTACTATAGGGGAGAACAGTCCATCCATTTGCCATGAAAGGGAGAAGACTCTTTCAGGCTCAACAAAATCTATTTCAGACTCCTGCTTCTTAACTTCTCTATTTCCTGAAAAAGCTATTGATGTTTCTTATGATGGGTGGCATATCATTTTCATCAGTAAAGAATTGTTGTGACCACCAAACAACTGGGCAGAAGAGAGTGGTGACATTATAATGGTGTCATCATTTGATTGTGGGAGGATTATAACTAAAACAAGTCTACAGTTTTGTTACAGTAAGAATAACTTTAAAGCAATATAAGTAACTAATGGCAAATGGACTACCTCCCACTGAGAAAACCTTATCATGACAAATGTACTAGCGGGACTCTTATTGGGATTGCACCATAAACCAGCATTAGAAACATATTTATCTATGTTTATGTGTAAATTTATGCATGTTCATGTATGTGTTTATTAATTTCTCCACATCAAGGGGCACTCTCCAACCAGGCAGTACTCACTCCAATGAATTTGACTCTGATGTGAATGTTGGTGATGTCCAGAAGGTTAAGTTCCTTTGGTACAATAAAGTGATCAACCCAACTCTTCCTAGAGTAGGAGTATCTAAGGTCACCGTGGAAAGAAACGATGGAGCCTTGTAAGTAACAAAATCCAAAGAGATTTGAATCACATTTATCCCTCCACTCCCAGTAACAGTTAACTTTGAATTAAACCTCCCAATTGTGGTTTTTCTGCAACCCTGTCAACAGTTGCTTCCTATTAACTTTTGTCCCTTTAAAAGGAAGTCCAACCCTTTAAAAATACAACTTTGGCAAATTAGTAGATGAGGACATATTCTTCTGATGCACATTAGTATTAAAGCGACAGTCTGGGTTCATGATATTAGAACAAAAAAACCATTTCACCTAGCTGCTGTCACTTGTGCTGTGCTTGTGCTTCACATGTATAACTTCCACCAAGCTTCCTAGTTTTACCAAATTTCCCCTTAAATTATTAGGAAAACACTTAACCTGTCAAGGATTACAAATAGGTCAGTCTGTTTCATGATTTTAGAGAAATCTTGATTGTAACCAATACTGAGATGGGTGTAATGAAAGAATATTTACCATGGTGAACTATCAGAAAATGTAATTGGATGGACATGATAACAATACCAATAACACTCCAAGTGCTTTGAGTATAAAATCATTTTCTGAGACACAGAAATACACTCTTTCTATCAGCATGTCATTCAGTCCAACTGAGCGGGGGTGGAGGGAGAGGGTTTTGCTTCTCATAAAAATAAAAGTTACAGAAGCATAATTCTCTTCCCAATGGAAGTAAACAAAAATTACAACAAAGAAATATAATGTTTCTTAAAATACTGAACAACAGGAAGCAAAGAGATAAGAAACGAGTAAGGGTTATGTCTAGCCTAATGCTTTGAGAGAGCACCTAGGGTGTCACACAAGTAGAAAAAAATGTGAGTCCCATTTTTTCTCTATTCTACCTTGAGTAGAGAAATCAGAGCTAAGAATCCAGAAAATTCAAGACAATAAAATTGCCCATGACTGAATCAGAAGGAAGAGAACTGCAAGAATCTCAGAGATAGATTCTTCCTTTGAATAGTCAACATTAGTGTACATGTCTGCATGAAATACCCATCTTAAAGGATTAGAGAGAATAGTACCCCATTCTCTAGCAGGGCAGGAAACTTCTAAACTTTTAAACAAATATGGTTATTGCAAATCAAGTACCAAATCAAAATAAATAATGCCTTCACAGTATAGTTAGGAACTTGTAATATTATTACTATGGCTGAATTTTTGTCACACTGTTGACCCTGGTATTCTCTGTGGCATTGGCTGATGATGCACTTATGTGTATAAGGTGCTCTTAGTATGGGAAAACTAAACTGTCTTTGGCATGTCCAATGATACCACGTCTTCATTTTTACTGAGGAATTCTAGTTTAAATTAATATTGAAGTTGTTACTTTATAGTTGCAGAGCTACTACACCAATTCTCGCACAGTGTTTCAAGATCCCTCTAACGTTATCCTCCAGTCCCTACCCTATCACCTGCTCAGTTCCCAGTTCTATTGACCATGTCTCAGACTCCTCTTTATGCCATTTGCCCAGTCATGAATCAAAACAGGGGAGCACATTTCAGTCCTTTCATCAGAAGGTGTCTTCTTACCCCCATTCCCCCACCTCACGTCTGGTCTTGGCTCAGGGACCCATAGAGATAGCTGCAGAGGTTGTTACATGTTCACCACATCCACTGTGTGTCTGGAGAAACTGACCTCTTGTTTTTCTGCAGGTTCAACTTCTGTAGTCTGGAGACCGTGAGGGAGGACACTCTGCTCACTCTTACCCCATGTTAGGAGCTGCTGACATGTGTCCTTTGAACTTTACCACCAATAAAATCTAATGATGATGCAATACATTTGTCTCTGTGTCATCGTATCCATTACTTCCAATGACATGTTAGACCAGGTGATTGAGTTTCAAAACTTTAAATGGATTCAAAGAACTACCAATCACTGCTGAATCTTGCTACATGTCAAGTGACATTAGAGCTTGGAATATTATTTCCAGGTTAGAAATGAACCCCTCCAGGTGGAAGACTTGAGAACACCCACTTTCACCATTTAGCCTTTGTCATTCACTTCTCTGTCTGCTCAGAATCAGTAATCTCAGAACCCACATAAGAAAACAGGGACCAGGCAGAGCCAATTCTTTTTTTCCTAGCTCTGAATGGGCTTCCCACAGCCCCTCTCTTCACTGCGGCCTTTCTGATCTTTCTAAAACACAAATCCAAGTTCCTCTCACTGACCCTTAGGATAGAACCCACAAGTTCTTGGGAACTCACAAGACCCCTTCTTGGTTTAGTTTGCATCTAGAATTCTAGAATTATCTCTCATTTCATTGCTTTGGTAACTTCACGTCCGAACTCTGTCTCCCCACAGAGTATCTTTGCCCAGGATGCTGCTGGGCCTTTGTCCAAACTCTTTCTCTTCATAAGATCATTCTCTTTCCTCTGTCTTTTGGTCTAATGTCCACTGATCCTTAATTAATTCTCTATGCAGTCACCACGTTCTCTAGGAAGTCTTTCCTCACCTCCCTAACCTATGACCTAGACTAAAACGTAATCTCCCTGTTACATTCCAGCTGACCCAGGACTTCTTCCATCCCCAAACAGTTCTTTATATTATGATCACTGAACTTACGTGTCAGTATTTTCGTTTGTAAACTCCTTAAGGTAGTTGAATGTTGTATGTGGCTGGCACAGGCCAGGTGTATAGTAAGAAATCAAATAAATATTTTCTAAATGACATTGCACTGATGGAAAAAAATGAATGAATCCAGTAGAGTTGGGTATTTAAAAATAGAACCTGTTCAATGGATAGTATACTAAAAGAGAAAGAAAAGAATGAAGAAATATGTGCTGTCTTAATGGAAGACTGGAAACTGTCAAGAAGATATGATGAGAACGGCCCTCCGTGGAAAAGGAACAGCATAGGCAAAGGCACAGAGGGATCAAAACAATATTTGGGGGGGGGGGTTGGAGGAAGAGGTAGTGTTTTTGTGCCACATCCAGCAGTGCTCAAGGCTTACTCCTAGCTCTACACTCAGGGATCACTACTGACAGTGTTTGGGAGAACATATTAGTGTCAGGATTTAAACCCAAGTCAGCTTTACCCATGTAGTATCTCTCCAGCCCCCAAAACACCTTTCATGCCATGTTTTACCACACTGCATGCAAGATGATCAGCATGGAAACTTATAAGGCCCATCCAGCTGTAATAATAGATGGGTTTCCCTGCATGAACTAAACACACAAACACAAACTGCCTGGAACAAGAAATCATGTTAGCTCAAAATACTAGCAAGTCCTGAGGTGGGGACACTTCAAGCTTCATTAACGCAGCCACGAAACCACCTCTACAAGGGCCACCTACTTTCTGTTCCCACACTCAGTCATCTGTTGATGATTTAATACTAAGGCTGGCTGGTGTGAGGTGAGAAGGAGAAATACATGAATGTAATAGAGACTTCAAGGATGATTTCTGGATCTTCAGTCAAAGCGACAAAAAGGATAGAGAGGCTGTTGATGAAAATTGGGAATGCCTGAAAGAGAGGGACAGACATAGAAAGATTGCATTCATCTGGGGAATATGAAATAACAAAATAGGAGAATAACACCCAAGAATAGCTGAGATAAGTACCAGGAGGTTCACTCCATGGCTTGGAGGCCAGCCACACATGCTGGGAGAAAAGGCAGATCAGATAGAGAAGGGAGCACCAAATAAAGGGTGTTAGGAGAATCCTCCCAGGATGAGAGATGCATGCTGAAAGTAGACTATAAACCGAACATGATTGCCACTCAATGACTCTTTTGCAAACCACAGCACCCAAAAGAAGAGAGAAAATAAAAGGGAATGCCCTACCACAGGGATGGTGGGGGGGGGGAGGGATACTGGGAGCATTGGAGGTGGAGAATGGGCACTGGTGGAGGGATGGGTACTCAATCATTGTATAACTAAAACCCAAGCACAAAAAATTGTAAGTCTATCACTGTACCTCATGGTGTTTCACTAATAAAAAAAAGGTAAAGGTAAAGGCCCTCCCGGTGATCGTCGATTTGCTCGAGCGGGCCCAGTAACGTCTCCATTGGAGACTTTGTTGTTACTGTGTCTGGCATATCGAATACTCTCGGGCTGGAGCAATAGCACAGCGGTAGGGCGTTCGCCTTCACTAATAAAGGTAAAGGTAAAGGCCCTCCCGTTGATCGTCGATTTGCTCGAGCGGGCCCAGTAACGTCTCCATTGGAGACTTTGTTGTTACTGTGTCTGGCATATCCAATACTCTCGGTAGCTTGCCGGGCTCTCCGAGAGGGGCGGAGGAATCGAACTCGGGTCGGCCATGTTGGCCGCTTGTAAGGCGAACGCCCTACCCGCTGTGCTATCGCTCCAACCCCTTCACTAATAAAAATTTAAAAATAATAAATTTTTTTAAAAAAGAAAATTGGGAATGCCTGAGAAGAAAAGGATTGTGGAGGAAGGTTTTTCTTATCACTTGTGGAATATTGTTCAGATATTCCATTGGTGACATCAAGAAGGATATTGGGAGGGACCAGAGAGAGGACAGAGGGCAAAGCACTTGTTCCCCTAGGATTACCAGGAGTGGTCATCCTGAGATCATCAGGAGTGATCCCTGAACCCAGAGTCAAGCACTGTTGAGTGTGGTCCAAAAATCTTTTAGTGCATTGGATTAAGCATTTATATCATAGTGAAGCAGTTTTCAAGTTGCTTTAATTTTTTTTCTTTTTGCTTTTTGGGTCACACCCGGCGATGCACAGGGGTTCCTCCTGGCTCTGCACTCAGGAATTACTCCTGGCAGTGCTCAGGGGACTATATGGGATGCTGGGATTCGAACCCGGATTGGCCGCGTGCAAGGCAAACGCCCTACCCGCTGTGCTATCACTCCAGCCCCAAATTTTTAATGGATATTTCATTCAAATTTTTCACCTATATCTGGCCCAATCCATTTTTGAATGAAATATTCTCATTTCTAGAGCCCTGCATCACATTTCCCACCAGGCAGGTACTTCTGTGGTGGTGTGGAAGGCTGTGCTTTCAGATACAGACTGCTTCACCTCTTGCTTGCTGAACATTGTTCCCTTTATTTCATTTTTCCAGGTTGGATACAGGAGCTAAATACGTATAGTCAACTCTGTGTGTTAACCTGTTCCTCAGAGAGGGAATTTCAGCAAGCCTTTGACAGCGAATTCCAAAATTTTGGTCTTGTTTTTCCTGACACAGGCATCCTGTTTACACAGCTCCAGGATACACTTCCCACTTAGTCTGGTGCTACCTGCTAAGATATGGACTTCTTGTCTCCATTTTCAGGTGAAGATCAGAGATGATAAAATGCTGAGCCTCCAGCCTTTTCCTGGGTGCATCTAGGTTTCCCCAGGATATCATGAAGGGAAATGTTGGTGCACCCTTCCCTGGTTACTATTCATTGGTGGAAAGATTCCCCCTCCTTCTAGCTGCTAATGCTGGTCCCAGTGCTTAGGCTCAAGATTCTGCAAGGGGATTTCTTCTCAAACCAGGAGCACAACTGCAGCAGCATAAGAACACACTTAAACACATAGACACACACAAGCACAGGTACAGATACAGAGACACACTTATTATAGCCAAATGAAAGCTGGGAGAAATAAAAAAGTAATCATATTTTAGATGCTTTTGTCTATCCTCTATGTAGTTGTAGTATTTGTTGCTATGAACTTCCCAGTATATTGAAGCTAGGACCTCATACAACAAAGAACATTAAGTGTAAATAAGTGTAGATTGCCTGGGGCTGGAGAGATAGCACAGTGGGTAGAGCGTTTGCCTTGCACGCGGCCTATCTGGGTTCGATACCCAGTATCCGATATGGTCCCATGAGCACCGCCAGGAGTAATTCCTGAGTGCAGAGCCAGGAGTAACCCCTATGCATCACCGGGTGTAACCCAAAAAGCAAAAAGCAAACAAACAAAAAAGTGTAGATTGCCTGAGAGGTGACAGGGAAGGATGTTACAGAGCAGGTACATGACCTAGGACCTCCTGGACAGGTGGAGACATCAATATCAGCATTCTTTAGCCACTGGTCCATGGATCAGGGCCAGCTGCAGGTATGGGAGGCAGAAGAGCACTGATCTGTATGAGAGCTCATTTCTAAACCCTTGGGCATGTCCAGTTTGGACCATCTGGACATCAGCTGTGAACCACCTTGTACACAGTGCTGCTCCATCAATAACTCAAACAGTTTTGATGTAGGCCCCACTGTGGTTTTGATCTTTTGACTTCCCCAGACCCTCACTGAGAGGGGAAGCTACTTTCTTTCTGTTCATACCTCTAGTTTCTCCTCTCTAATTTATTTTTAAATTTATTTTAATGTAGATAAAAGCCACACAACTGTTAATACAACACTAGAGTTGAAATTGATTAGATAACAAAGCTCTAATATTAAAAATCAGTGAGTATAAAATATCCATTTTTATGTAAAAATTATAAATATCATCAGAGGGTTTTTAAATCTTGTCTAATAATTTGCTAAGGTGTTGCTATCTGAGTCTTCTGTGTTCATTTTTGTTAAGTTCAGTTGGATTACATGTTACTTTCCCTAACTTGGTGTAATCCTACTCAAATTTCAGTATTGAGGAATTAGGATTTGTCACACAGTTGTATACATGGTTCCATCGTCCAGAGACTTCAGATTCATGGTCTGGGCCAATGAGTTAATGTGGTGGCAGATATGGTGGTTATGGTTGCTAGGGCTTCCAGATGTATGGAGGTGGGTAAGTGGTCAAGGAGGCTGTCCACTTCAACTCTGAAAAGACACCAGAGTTCTCAGTC